TTTGAAATATTTTCTTATGGTTTGTAATATTTCTGTAAATTTATTGTGATGATATTTTAAGTTCTTTTTTTTTTTTCTCCTCATTTTCCGTAGTTGTATTTTAAAGATTCGGCTCTGTATTATTTGAAATCAGTCTGCCGACAGTCCATGTATATATTTGAACTAATACCATCCTTATAACAGGTACATATTCAAGTTAAGTTTTTACTCCATTATGCACAGTTTGAGATAAATAAATTTTTGACATATGGACACTGAAGTTCCGCTTGAGTCTTGGATTTATTTTTGTAACGCAAGATGTTTTTTAAATAATTCATGCAGTAGAAGGTATCATCGTAGCCAACCGAATACGATACATAATGCAGTAATATATAGCTATATATATATATATATATATATAAAAAACACATGAATATTTTTATAGGTATGCATATATAGAGAGAAAGTACGATAGCTTTAATGGAAAAAGCGCCTGTGCCTCCTGCGGGGGGGACGGGAACGCGGAGCGAGGCTGCTTCCCCGCTCCCTCCCTTCCCTCCCGAGGACGCGGGGTGCGCCGGGCTCGGGGCTCTGTCGCCGCCGCCTTTGGCCACTTGTTGCCCCCGGAGGGGCCGAGCTGGGGCTGGCGGGGCCGGCGGGGCCTCCCGGCTTCCACAGGCGGATAATGCCCTTCTCTCTTTTCCCTTTCCCCACCGTGCCTCCTTCCGCGGGGCGGGCAGGAGGGGAGCCGGCTCCCCGCGGCCGGGAACCCGAGCGCGCCCGGCCCGGCCGCTCCCTTTGTCCGCCGCTTCCCAAACTTTCCTCTCCTGGCTCCTGGGCCGCGCAGGAGGAGGTGAGAGGTGGGGCGGGCGTAGGGTTGGCCGGGCAGAGGTAAGAAACAACAAAAACCGAACAAACAAACAAAAACAGTCGAATGCCAGAGACTTTCACGTTTTATCACAGCTCTTTCTTGAATCCTATTTCTTAAATTGCCAGCGCGGTGTAGCCCCGTTTCGGACACTCTCTGCAGCCGGTCGCAGCCCCAAAGAGAAGCGGTGGCGCCCGCCATGTAGAAGGAGAGATCCACCGTCCGTGCCAGGTAGAGTTTTACTTTGTACGGTCGTACCCGCACTTGCCGAGGAGGCGGCTCCGCGCCGCTCCGCGCCGGCGGCCCTGGCCGGCGCCAGGCCCCGCGGCCCGGGCAGGGCAGGGGGCGATGGGCACCGCAGCTGGGCCGCCCCTGCGGTCCTTTGGTGCTGCTAACGCGGCTTCCCTTCGGGGAAACGAGCGAGAGGGAGATGTAAATATAATAATAATAATAACAATAATAATAATAATAATAATAATAATAATAATAATAATAATAATAAAGGTACGAATTTTGGGATTTGAAGTACTGTGATTGGAAACTGATCGTGTGTTCTGCTAATGGCATGTGGTACGTGGCAAGGAAAGCATGTGATGTTTGGCTTAGGCAAGGCACAGAGTGGGCACTCCGGCACGGGGCAAGCGTTGCTGAGCGTTTCTCTCCAGTATTTCTTGTCAGCCACTGGATTTCGCTTTAGGTCGGGGGTGGGAAGAAAGCTGGGTAAAATGCACACACGCGATCACACACACACACAAAATACACACACACATACACACACACACAAACAATTACCTGGCTGGTTGTGGCTTTTATTTGGTATTGCTATTTCCTAGGCTCAGTTCTGGCCTCCATCCTTGAAGCCTGGTGTCCAGATGAAAAGTAACATTGCCAGACTGGGAGACGTGGTGATTTGCTCCCTGCCTGGTTTGTAGTTTAGCTTCCTTTGTCCCTTTTATTTCTACATCGTCGCGGTGCTTGGGCCAGACAATAATTTTTGCAGATTCTCAACCTTTTCTGTGTCTTTTACGCTAATGCAAGAAAGTAAAACATTCTTTTTCAGAGCTGTGAGCGTTTGCAATGCATTTGGGGATTATTCACGTGGTAACGAGCCCACATCCCCGCTCCCGCTTGCCTCGCTGAGAAAAGAGAACCAGGAATAAAAGCCCAATCGATATCACGATTCCATTTTTAAAAGCGAATCTTAGCCAATTAACAGCAATAAAACCTGGCCCCTTTTTGAAGTGCTAACTAAAATATTCAAGGGGGGTATTTGGAAATGTTGGTCCTTTTACAATTCGCATAGAGAAGGCGAGCTAATACCCCTAAACAAAAGGCACTAAGCCACATATTCAGGCTTAGTGAATTCAGCAACTTTTTATAAGGGCAATTTGTTTAAGCTTAGATTTCGGAGTACGATTTGGAATATATGTGGTTGAAACCTGATATCACTTGGACAGATTCCTTACATCCACCCATCCATCCATCCATCCACCCATCCACCCATCCATCCATCCATCCATCCATCCATCCATCCATCCATCCATCCATTTATCTGTTTAGGGAGGATAACCCAAAGCATTTTACATGTACAGCTGAACAGTTTTATTTTTAAAGTGCTACTTGGAGGAACGCCATTGTCCACTGCTCATTTTAAATTCAACACATTCAATAACGCCATTTACACCTAAGCCATTATCTTGGGCTTTCGTTTATGGCAGCTGAAATGTGTAGCAGAGCTCGTGGGTATGTTTTTATTTTGGTTATTGAAGACCTTTGGGGCTCTCCGTGGTTTCCCTCTCGTGAATTGTTGTGTATTTTATAGCCAGAGTGATGCTCGGCCCAAGAGTGCCAGTGTAATGTTTCCCTAACCTTCTACAGAGCCGAAGTGAACCCAAGGATAAGATTATAGTTTCCCCTGTGATTTTTTTACGGCTTTTTAAGTACTGGGGTGTTAAAATATTTTGTGGAACTGGAGAGGTAGATTAGCAGGGTTTCTTGCCAAAGCTGGGAAGCTGGTATTACAGACTGTCCCAGGGGGAAATCGCTCACATTAACCACTAAATGAATATTTGACAAGGGCTCATTCGGGGGTATTATTACTACAAACGGGTCCCTACTGGACTTTCCAAGGGTCAAAGAGCAATGGTTCAATTAATTATTTAGACTGTTAGTAGATTTGGTTGTAATAGCTGCAGTTATTTCTGCAACCGACAGCTTCTTGCGGTGGGGGATCTGGGGAGAGGCTCTGCCTCGCAGCACCGGCTCCAGCCCGTGGCTCTCTCTTGCCGACAGACATTTCTTAGCCGAAACCACATTTTGATTCCTTGAGATGCCCACTGGTGCCAGGTGGGACATCAGGGGTGACAGTGATCCTCACAGCAGAGTGTTTTCTCTCGATATTCATTCCTCCTCTTCCCCAACGCGCAGCAGAGCTGGATATCTGCCTTCGAATAGGAGGTAGATAGCCCAGCAATTTAAGTAGTATATAATGTAAGTCCCACTGAAAGAAAGAGGCCCATTACTGATAGGTGTGATTAGATACACTTCAGTCATTTAAATCCTGATCTAACTCAAATACTAAAATGTAAAACCTGCTTCGGTGGTTGTGAGATTTCCGAGGATATATGCAAAATGCTGACATTCTGATGGCAGAAGAGCTTCGTCTTTGCTTTTTTAAACGCCAGTCAGCTTCGCCTGACACTGTCGTTTCAACATTTTTCTTGGTGAGGAGGGGAAAGAGAAGGGAGGATTATTTTGTTTAATTTCTACAACAAACATGTCCGTAGTAGTAGATACCAAAAAAAAAAAAAAAAAAAAAAAAAAAAAAATACCAAAAAAAAAAAAAGAAAAAAAAGGCAAAAAACCCCAAAATAACGTTGGGAGTGTGCGATTAGGTGACAATAATGTATGTTGAATGAATAAGAGATAAGCTGCAAGGGGGGAGAGGGAAGCAGTAATTACAAACCCAATTCATTCAGCTTTTCAGGACTTTTGTTGTGGGAGCTCCATTGACGGGCTTCGAGCTGCCAGTTTTCTCACATTAAAAAGAACTGATCAGCGCCTCAGGGGGACAAGCAACACCGCTTAACTGCATAGTGATGGGGTCCTCATTTAGAGCCATTACAACAAGAAAATTAAACAGAGCCTTTGTGTGCACCAGGTTTACTTTTCAATTGCTGACAGTTTATAGCTAACTGCTCAGAGATTTAAGTTTGATTGCGGTTTGATCGCCTGCTAGTTAGTACCGCCGCTATTTTAGTTTTGGTAATTAAAACCAGTTTTTCTGACGATGGCACGGGGAATTGCGAGAGTTTGGTACTATTTTGCTTTTGAGGAATCAATTCACTTGGCGAGGACGTACAGCGCTACAGTGAGTGTGGGGGCTGGTTCACTCGGAAAGGAAAGGAGCCCGGGGTGGAAATTCGCGGAGCTGCGTTTGGCTGCACCGGAGCGGGAGGACGAGCTCCGGCCCTGCCCGGGCACCGCCGCCGCTCCGGGCTCGGCGGAGCCGCTGCGCCGGCACCTGCGGGCTGGGGAGCGGCGAGGAGGAACAAAGCGAAACCCCGAAGCTCGCAGGATGGTTTTGGAGCTTTGCTTTGGAGTTCGCTGAGGGTTTGCTGCGGCTGAGCCGCGTGTGAGAGTGCGTGTGTGAGTGTGCCTGTGTGTGACCGTGTGTGCCTGTGTGTGACCGTGTGTGCGTGTTTTTGTATCCGTGTGCGCCTGTGCGTACAGGGGGAGGGGGCGCGCCGAAACAAGCTGCAATTATCCATTACAATTTAGCAATGTCGGAGGGGAGCGCGGACGGCCCTTCCCGGGCAGTGTGGTGCGGGTTCGGGCCCGGCCGTCCCGCAGGAGACGCCTGGGACGCTGCAGCCCTGCCGGCAGGAGCGGGGGGAAGCCCATGGGCGGGGGGCCCTCGTTGCGAGCGCCCGCGGGGAACGGAGCGGGGCCGGGCCGGAGAAGTTTCTGTAGGAGTTTGGCTCATCCGCTGGCGCAGCGTGCTGCCTCGCAGCACCTCTGCCATGTGGGCGAGAGCTTGTACAGAGTGGCTTTATGTTTTGAGGGTTTTTTTGTTTGTTTGTTTGTTTTGGTGTTTATTTTTTTTTAATTTGTCCCTTTTATATTTAATTCTTTTAGGATTTCTCTGTGTTTTGTTTGTGTTTTGCGCCCGTCCCCCGACCCCCTGATAAAAGCGCCTCTCCCTCCCTCTTTCCCTCCAAATGTGTTTCAGACTCAAGCCACCGAGCGGTTATTCCAAAGCAGTTGCCTTCTTCAGAGGGACGAGGTGGCCCGCAGCTCGGGAGGGTCCCGAGGGGCACCCTGCGGGACAGGGAATTGTCAGGCCGCTTCCGCGGGGCCCGGCCGAGCTGCGTGGGGCCAAAGCGGCGATGCCGCCGGTTCCTACAAGCTCTCGGGGCAGTGGGACGCCGGGGGAGAGCGCTCAGCCCGGGCACGGAGCTGGGCTGTGTCCTGGCGTCCCCGTCCCGAGCCCAGCGGCGGGCGCAGCGCTGCTCCGGCCCGGGCCGGGATGTGCCCCCGCTCCCGCACGGGCGGCCGCTGCCCCAGGGAACGGGAGGGGAGGCCCGGCCTCCCGCGGGCTCCCCCGCCCCGGCTCCTCGGTGACCCCATCATCCCCGCAGCAGTTAGGGCTGATGACGTAATGTGGGCGCTTTTTTTTTTTTTTTTTTTTTTTTTTTTTTTTCCCAGAAAATCGTGATTAACGGCAGGGGATGGGGAGGGGCAGAGGGGGGAATCCCACCGGGTGCTGGAAAGACACGGGTCTCTGCAGAGGCTTTCCCGCGGGAAGGCTCCGCAGGGGTGTCTTGGCACACCAGCTCACACTCACTCACGCACACTCACAACTCACACGCGTTCCAGGCTGAGAGCTGGATCCTGCAAACCCGCCTCCCATCCTGCGGGAAGCTCCCAGCGCTGGGGCGGCCGGTCCAGGCGAGCCGACCTTACTCGGGCAAGTAGGGACGGCCAGGGCCGGAGGCGGCTCAGCCAGAACCGAGGCTCGCAGCGCTCTGCAGGGCGGCCGGGCCGGGCTCCGGGAGCGGGGCTGGGGCTCATCCCCAGCTGCCCCCGCCTGCCGGGCTCCGCTGCCGCGGGAGAAGCTCTCCAACGTGTCCTCCTGGCATCGCTGGGAATGATGGTTCCTTTAAGCTCTTACAAATTGCAGAAGTTGAGGAAGACAGAGAAATAATTAATGTATTAAAACAAGCAGCGAATTCCTCAGGAGGCACCTTATCAACTCCAGCCACACTGGCTTCATCCCTCCTCGTATGCTAATACCCCGTGACGTCATTGGCGCCAGATTGAATGTGAATCAGTTATGAAATTATTAGTTTTAGCTTAAAAAGCAATCTGGCTCTCCCGTGAGTGGGCTTTGCGTTGCTGCGGGTTCTCGCTCCGTGTCCTCCCCATGTTATGCACACACAGTAGCTGCGACTTTCCTGTCGCAATGAATCAATATTTCCAAAGCACACATCCTAACAGGGGGTGATGTAAAGAAACCCATAGATTAATTGGGTCCCGTTTCTGAGTCGGCTGTGTCTTCCTTTATCGATACACACTTTACACCCGAAACCAGACAGTCGGATTTCCTCCTACTTTTCAGGTAGGCAAGAGCTCCTTGTGATTTATTTCTGTTAAGATCCCACAGAGGGGGTGTTATTCTTTGCCAGCGTCTGCAAAAAAAATACCCAGGAGTTTGCTTTTGCTTTTGATTGTGATGGAGGAAAATGGGCCAGAAAAAGGGGAAATGCAGAAATTGGTTGGTTGGTTGGTTGGTTGTTTCAAATAGAAATATTTTTATCTAGCACTTTGAAAAGGAGAGCATCCCAGCGGTGGAGGGCCAAGGGATCTGAGCGGGGAACAATGGGAATTAACACCATTTCAATCGCTGAGGCCACTCTAATTAGATGTCTGGGTCCGGCGAGATCAAATACCTGAATCTAAACCCCTCGGCTCGGTTTCTTTCGCTTGCAAATGCTTCTGAAAAACGGTTCTTCGAGAAACCAAGCTACCTCCATATTCCCCGGAGTCCCTTTCGAGAAGTTTGGCCGATAACAACTTTCTCCATGGGTTGGGGAGGCCGGCGCGTCCCCTCCCCGCAATGGCCCTGGCCCGGCACCCCCGGTGACACCCCCGCTCCCCCCGAGCTGCTGCAGGACACTTCGGGCTCTGCTCCCATGAATTATGAATAAACCTCTCCTGGGGAGCCCCGGCGTGGGCCCATCTCCGCTCCCGGGGCTGCGGAGCCCCGGCGCGGAACTGCCCCGGCCGTGGCAGGGGAGCGGCTCCGGCCCCAGCTCCCGCTCCCAGCAGCCCCCTAAGCCGGGAAGGAAAAAGAAAAGAAAAGAAAAGAAAAGAAAAGAAAAGAGAAAGAGAAAGAAAGAGAGAGAAAAAGAAAAGAAAAGAAAAGAAAAGAAAAGAAAAGA